TAGATAACTTTTCTTATCTTTTTACGTGTTTTTAGGAAAGCTATATTTTTCTTATTTGAAAAACAGCTTTGAGTTAAATTTTTAATACTAGTATATTTTTGCTATTATTACAAACTACAACTATTTTAAGATATTATATACCAACTAGAGGTGGTGCAACAATAATATATAAAATCTTAATTAATTTCTTTTATCATATTATATCACTCTGGTTCTTATTTTATAGTTACAAAATGTTTAATTTCTAATATGTCTGTTTATGTTTTATCAATTTATCTAGCATAATAAATTCTGATATAAATTAATATAGTGAGTGTCATGGCAATGACTGCAAATTAACCAGCATCTATTATTTGTGTAGCTATGTAATTTAAGATTATTATTACAGCTGCTGATAGCGTATGATTGCATATTTTATAAACAATAATGGTCAACTCTGTAGTTGTTTATATATCATTAAAATTGGAAGATAATCTTTTAGAAATTTAATATCTCACAATTTTTTCCTCAATTACTTATCTAGCTTCCATCATATCATTTAAGAGGATCTAACCACCATATATTTTTATGATTTGGATTGGTCGTTTATATTCTCTTCTCCAAGAATTGTTGATTTGGTTAGGCCTATAAATTTTTCCTTATTAGTCCATTCTATAAAACATTGTCTAAAAATGGTAACAGAGGAGTGTTATATTAGTTTCTTGACCTTTTGTCAATGTAAGTTGCTAATTTTATAATATGTAGTTTTTAAAAACCATTATCAATTGAAGCATATGTATGAATTAATTAACCTTTTTTATCAATTGTCAAAAAAATTTTATATCAGCAATCGAAAATATTTTATACCGTAATAAATAGATTTTGTATTAAATAGAAATGTCTTGTATTGTTTTATATGCTAGTTTATTTTTCTATGCATAATATAATAAATGACAAAATATGAAATTCAGAATAATTATTCAGAGTTAGCAAATTTTAAAAAAGTATAATATATTAATATAAAATCCGGCCGAAGACCGGGAAAAAGCGGCCGAAGGTGCCCCCCATAAATTTTTTTTAGTTGAGCCCCCTGAGATTGTAAAGGCTAACGACGCCCCTGAATTAAATGATTAATTAATTGTTTAAATATGCGTTTAGTTATATTTTCAATTAAATTTACAGGACAGGCTTAGGCCTAAAATAAAAACATGGCTAAACAGATAATTCATCCTCGGAAATTATTTATATTATTCTTTGACAACATGCTTTATGGTGAGGGATTTAAAGTTTTAATATTTCGGTATTTTGACAGTATGGTTATAAATATTTATCGAAAAGCGCAGTTTATATAATTCAAAAATTGTGATTTAGACATTTTTTGATATTAAATTTGTATAAAGTTTTGCTTAATCAAAAAGACAAGGTCAAAATTATCACAAGACATAAAATAATAATTAGCATAATAGGTAGGTTGTCGAATTTAATGGCTACACATCTCAGAGCTTAATTCATATAATATCTGATGAAGAAATTGCTCTATTGTGACTCAAGAATTTAGAAAAACAGAATAATAATTTTCTTAATGGATTCTTGTTAATTTCTTGCTTCCTGACCAGTCTTTTTTCTGCCTATGTGATTATTATAAAAATGGACATAGATCAAAATAAATATAAGTTTAACTAAAATTGAATGAATTGATCATGCCTCATAAATTATTAAAAATATCTTAGCTATTTATAAAACCAATTATAGTATATGTCCATTTCAGTTCTGTTGCTATATTTTATTAAAGCGAATGTCATAAATTTTTGTTGCGATAATAGTGGTGCATTATCAGTAAAATATTTTGTTCTGAAGAGGAGAAAATTTCCTGAAGTAAAATATTTATAATGTGCAATCTTTTTCCTGACTAAACAATGTTGTCTACTTCAAGGAGTAAATGCACAATCCTAAAGAATCGAAAGATGGAAGGTATTTCTTTTTTACATTTTTATGCCTGCATATTTTGTAAATATGCATTCTTTCAGATTAAAAGCTTTGAAAGATTAAAAATAAAAGTTTTAAAGCAAGCAAATACGGATATTAAAATTAATTAAACAAGCTGTAGGAAACTTATATTATCATTTATAATTCGATCTATTACAGTAGAAAGAAACTCGGCATTATAAAAAATATATTAGTAAAGTAAAAAATCTTTCTGAGGAAGCCACTTTATATTATTTATATTAACCATTTGTCAAATATAAATCACTATTGCCTAAGTAATAATGCATTCGCTGTAGCATTAATGATAATGCGTTCTCTGTGTTACATTTGTGATAATGCATTCGCGGTAATACATTTTACAGAAAAAGTTTTGCGGTATTGACGTGATACGATTTTCATAACAGGCTTAATGGTTCTAAAAATGTTTCGCAAAAATATATGCTCATGAAATGATTTAAATTTTAACATGTCAAAAGCAGGGATTTGAACTGTATCTGGAAAACCCTGGGTTTTGAAAAAATTTTATGAATCCGAACCAAACTTGAACCCTTTTTTTGAATTCGAACCGAATCCAGATTTTTAGAACACGGGTTCAATCGGGTTCAGTGAATGTTATATTTCATATATTAAGATATTTGTTAATACAAATATTAATAATTTAAATGAGATTCTTTAATATTTTTAATTTATTTAAATATATACTGTATAAATACTAAAATATAACAGATATTATTTAGTGATGATGATAAGAATTGCGAAAACGCATCTTGTTAATAACCATTTTATCTGATGATAATAGTTCGAATGAAGTTATTGAACAATATAATTTAGAGAAACTGATACAATTTAAAGAAAGGAGAAAATACTTAAAATAGGGCCAACGATTGTAGAGAAAAGAATTGAAACGACTGGATTTGGCTATTTAAAAAGATTAGATAAGAAGGAAAATATTTAGTATTTTAGAGAGTCTGCTAAGCTGCAGCACCCTGATTTATATATTTTATCCAAAATCTTATTTTTGTTCCTATAACTCTAGTTAATTTATCATATTTTTATATAAATATATTTAATATAGGTTAGCGTTGAAAGATCTTTTTCACATTTGAAATTTATTCTTTCACCGCATAGATCGAGGATGAGCAAAAAACTCTTGGGATATTATATTACTACGTCTAAATAAAAATTTAAAATTGATACATGACTATATTTTGTATTTTTAAATATATTTTGCCTATAAATAAAACATAAATTATATTTTTTATACCAAATTTATGTCTAGTTTTTTTAATTATCATCGAGCCTAACCAGGAACCAAACCCAAGTTCAAAAATATTCCCCTGAACCGAATTCGAGCCGAACTCAATTAATTATTATTTTACCTTGAACTGAACTTGAACCGAACCCGATTAATATTTTTGCCGGGTTCACATCCCTGGTCAAAAGTAACTTTAATTTTTTACATTTTTACTAATAAATTTTTTTTTTATAAGTTACTGAGACTAAATATCAACTCTAAATGATAAAGTAATCTCAATTTTACCATGTATGAAAATATTTATAGTAATTTAATATCTTGAAAATAAATATGAAGATCTAGGGCAGGTTTAGGCAAGGTGCATTTAACCCATTTTAAGCAAGTAATTATTTTTAATAAAAAAATCCAACTGTATTTATAAGAACACTCGAAGCTACGAGTTGGTCTAGGGTCATGATGAAGATATTTGACTTATTTTTTGTAAATAATTTGGCATTTTTAAGTGACAGGTTCTTCCGGGCAATGACATTAATACTATAGACTGCCGATTATTATATTTGAATTGGCAAAATTTGAAGTGGCTGGTGGCCATTTTGTGTTTGTATCTTTTACGAAAGAACCATATGATAATTTCATAAATTTCAGGTATATTTTTATTATGTTTATATTTATAATATGTATATATATTCTAATTAAACACCAATTTATTATTTACCTTATATATTATAGTATATATGAATCAAATATAGGTCACTACTGAATATGAAGAAAAGAAAGTTAGATGTGATATCTGTTTACATTCCCTAATTGATAATTCCGCAAACGACAATAATTATACATTAATAAAAATTAAGAATTATGGTGGATTGATAATACCATCCCAAAGCGTGTCAAATTTATGCAAAATAACAGAGAGCTCATTCAGAGCTTTTGAAAAAGTAGATGAAATAACCAAAAGACATGCTGTTAAAAAAATAGAATGTCTAATATTGTCAAAAATATTAGGCACAAATATCCTTAGTGACCTGCAAGATCATATGTTTGATCAAGAGGCAGGGTTAAGTCATTATCAAATTATAATAAGACTTATAATTAAAAGGTATATATAATATTTACTTGATTTTAATAAAAATTTATTTTCAGATACCTGCACATAAGAATGCATCATTTTGGTAATAAAGTAAATCAAAAATTACAATTAAATATCAGGCAAATACTAAATAAGGCTGTACTTTTTCAAGGGCAATAAACCAATAAAAATATGTTATTTAACTTAAATATTTATAGGTGAAGAACAAATTATCTGAAAATTTCTAATGACTTTATTGGTTATAATAAATTAATTTTATTAGACATAAATATAACATATATATATTATTTGTATTTATTATTGATTTATAAGATTAATATTTTCTTTTCGCGATACATATTAATTATAATAATAATACAATTATTTTATTTGATGTAAATATAACATAATATATATTATTTGTATTTTTCATGTATATATTTACATTATTGATTTTTATACTTTAGTGAATTAAATTTAAATAAAGAAATATATTTAGAAATGGATAGTTTATATTTATTAAGGAATAACATAATTATAAGCAAAAATAAAACATAAAAGAGATAAATTATAAAAATACAAAAGAAATCTAGAATTGATTTATATAAAAAAAAATATTCATGTATTTTTGAATTAATCTGGCTTCTAGGAAACCTGCATGTTATTATTTATTATTCATTATTTTGTTACTTTTAGAAGATGCTTTGGAAAATTAAAAATTGATGGTATTGCTCCCTCTCTTAATTGAACATGATTTGTAACAGATGGAATAAATGAATCTGGTGTAAAATGCTTTGAACATAATTTACTATATTTTGTTACATTGAAATTCTCTCTCTTCACAGTCCACTTTTGTAATAATATTTTATCTTTCATAGAAAATCTGCCATAAATAATTTTTACAATAGAATAATTAATTTGAGATATCATACTTATGAAAGGAAATTTTGCTTCTTCAGCAATATACTACCATTAGAAATCTTTTAGTAATTAAAAAATATTAAATTGAATTCTTATAAAAGATATTCATTATTAAATAATAAATTGCATTAATAAAGAGCAGAAATATTTCAAGTAAAATATTCAGTAGTGACCTTTATTTGATTCATATATACTATAATATATAAGGTAAATAGCAAATTGGTGTTTAATTAGAATATATATATATATAATAAATATAAACATAATAAAAATATACCTGAAATTTATGAAATTATCATATGCTTCGTTCGTAAAAGATACAAACACAAAATGGCCACCAGTCACTTCAATTTTTGCCACTTCAAATTTGATTTTAGCATTACGATCGGCAGTCTATAGTATTAATGTCATTGCTTCAGGGTGATATATATATAAAATATAAATAAACCTACTACTGGGGAGAAGGGACTCTCCTCTGATTATGATGCTCCTGATTTATTATAAAAATTTTATCAATGTCAGGCCGTGTCACCGCTCGTTATTTATAAATATCCGTTTGTTTAACAGACTATTTAATTTCCTCTAAACAGCCTAATAAGAATGAGGCTATTTAGATTTTAAGAGTGGCACTCATTTATTTTTCTAAATAAAGATTGTATATATCAGAAGTACTTCTACATAATATACAAATTAAGTGCGTTCAGGAAGGTAACAATGACATTAATACTATAGACTGCCGATCGTAATGCTAAAATCAAATTTGAAGTGGCAAAAATTGAAGTGACTGGTGGCCATTTTGTGTTTGTATCTTTTACGAAAGAAGCATATGATAATTTCATAAATTTCAGGTATATTTTTATTATGTTTATATTTATAATATATATATATTCTAATTAAATACCAATTTACTATTTACCTTATATATTATAGTATATATGAATCAAATAAAGGTCACTACTGAATATTTTACTTGAAATATTTCTGCTCTTTATTAACATTTGCAATTTATTATTTAATAATGAATATCTTTTATAAGAATTCAATTTAATATTTTTTAATTACTAAAAGATTTAAAATGGTAGTATATTGCTGAGGAAGCAAAATTTCCTTTCATAAGTATGATATCTCAAATTAATTATTCTATTGTAAAAATTATTTATGGCAAATTTCCTATGAAAGATAAAATATTATTACAAAAGTGGACCCATGCTGTGAAGAGAGAGAACTTCAATGTAACAAAATATAGTAAATTATGTTCAAAGCATTTTACACCAGATTCATTTATTCCATCTGTTACAAATCATGTTCAATTAAGAGAGGGAGCAATACCATCAATTTTTAATTTTCCAAAGCATCTTCTAAAAGTAACAAAATAATGAATAATAAATTATAACATGCAGGTTTCCTAGAAGCCAGATTAATTCAAAAATACATTAATATTTTTTTTATAGAAATCAATTCTAGATTTCTTTTGTATTTTTATAATTTATGTCATATGTCTTTTATGTTTTATTTTTGCTTATAATTATGTCATTCCTTAATAAATATAAACTATCCATTTCTAAATATATTTCTTTATTTAAATTTAATTCACTAAAGTATAAAAATCAATAATGTAAATATATATCATAAAAAATACAAATAATATATATTATGTTATATTTACATCAAATAAAATAATTGTATTATTATAATTAATATGTATCGCGAAAAGAAAATATTAAACTTATAAATCAATAATAAATACAAATAATATATATATGTTATATTTATGTCTAATAAAATTAATTTATTATAACCAATAAAGTCATTAGAAATTTTCAGATAATTTGTTCTTCACCTATAAATATTTAAGTTAAATAACATATTTTTATATTACTTGGTTTATTGCCCTTGAAAAAGTACAGCCTTGTTTAGTTTTTGCCTGATATTTAATTGTAATTTTTGATTTACTATATTACCAAAATGATGCATTCTTATGTGCAGGTATCTGAAAATAAATTTTTATTAAAATCAAGTAAATATTATATATACCTTTTAATTATAAGTCTTATTATAATTTGATAATGACTTAACCCTGCCTCTTGATCAAACATATGATCTTGCAGGTCACTAAGGATATTTGTGCCTAATATTTTTGACAATATTAGACATTCTATTTTTTTAACAGCATGTCTTTTGGTTATTTCATCTACTTTTTCAAAAGCTCTGAATGAGCTCTCTGTTATTTTGCATAAATTTGACACGCTTTGGGATGGTATTATCAATCCACCATAATTCTTAATTTTTATTAATGTATAATTATTGTCGTTTGCGGAATTATCAATTATGGAATGTAAACAGATATCACATCTAACTTTCTTTTCTTCATATTCAGTAGTGACCTTTATTTGATTCATATATACTATAATATATAAGGTAAATAATAAATTGGTGTTTAATTAGAATATATATATATATATATATATTATAAATATAAATATAAACATAATAAAAATATACCTGAAATTTATGAAATTATCATATGGTTCTTTCGTAAAAGATACAAACACAAAATGACCACCAGGCACTTCAATTTTTGCCACTTCAAATATATTAATAGGCAGTCTATAGTATCAATGTCATTGGAAGGTAAAGTTTGAGAAATTGAGAGCTAGATAATCATTATAAAAAAATTTAAATCATAAATATACCTATTACTTTAAAATATGGAAATATTAGAAATTACAAATAGTAAGTTACACAGACCCCAGAAATACATTCAGATGATATATTTATTTTTCAATTCAAATCCAAGAATAATATAATCATTATTTCATAAAAAAAATAAATTAAAAAGATTGACATTCATTAAAAAAAAATATTATTCTTCATTAAGACAAATACATTATATCTGAAGACAAAGCTTCCTCAAACATGTGATCATTTCTCTCCCATAATCAACAACTAACAAAATTAATTACAGAAGATCCCTTTTGATTGACATTTCATATATATCATTATATATATATATATATATAACAAAATACAAAACTACAACAGAAAGCCGACGATATCATTTATAAATTGTAATACTGAGGACTGTGCGCTGATAGAAAAATTATCGGCAACGGCATTTCACTCTAAAAATTTTTTTACTATAACTATATTTTATTTTTAAAACTTTAAATTTAAACAATAAAATAAATATTTATCAAATAAAACGTTTAAATCTTTATAAAAGTAAGTAAGTTGTAAATTCATTATTTTTAAAAATCCTTAATATTTTGCTGAATCCAAATTCAAACCCTTTTTAAAATTTAGGGTTCAGGGTGCAAGCTTTTTTAAAAAATTTTTAAATTTATATTTTTTATTCTAAACTTTCATTTTATTTATTTTAAATAATATGTTAAAAATAATATCTATAATATATATAAAAACCTTGCCACAAAAATACTGTTACGCTGTTACAGTCACACTTTCATCTATAATATATATATTTAAAAAATCGTTAATTTTGAAAAGCAATTGGCAAGAACGTCGCTTACAAATCTATGGAATAATGGACTTAGGTTCGAATCCCGGCAAAGGTTTTTTTTCTTAATCTGGCAAAATTAATCAAATAGAAGATACGATTCAAAGTTTGTAGCTACTTTAAAATTCAAACTATTAAATAGGTATTCTGATATTTTTAAATTTTTTACATTCTTTTTAAAAATCACTACAGAATCATATTAAACATTCATTCATCTTCCATTACCACAAATAAGAAATAACTGATACATCAAACAACTGAACTGATCTTATATCTATTATGATAATCCTCAAAATCAAATTTAGCCAATAGTGTTCTTTTAAAAAAAATTTGTCCAATAAAAATGATTATAGGGTAATCGGTACAATAGTAATCATGTAACAGCCTCAACATTCATTCAATTTTATAACACATTTTACCATCTTCATAAGGTTAAATTTTTTATAGTTTATATAGTAAACCTACAGAAAACGTTAATATATTGGAATATTCAAGTCTTTTAAAATTGGCTTCAAAGAAATTTAAACTTCAAACTGGGCAGAATAATGGAGAGTTTTAATGTCACAGTATGTCTCTAGGAATTTAGGGGTAAAACAATTTTGTTATCAAAACTATTTAAAGTATATCCATGTTAGGAACTTCTCCTTAACACTCAATCTTAATTGACATGTATATCTAATAAATTAAGACCCTGGATTTTGACCCTTGCTAATAATCTTCTAAATAGCCAATGGATACCACCACAGAGTTTTTATGACACAATCAGGTTGACCTCATATTTGATTTAAATCTATGATAGGAGATCTTTGTTTAAAAGAGTAGTTATGAAGGGTACCATGTCAATTCAGCGAAACGTTTATCGCGAAACACTTTTTCGCGAAACTTTTATCGCGAATCCATAATAGCTAATACTATTCCGCGAATGCAATATCGCGAAACAAATATCGCGAATTTTTTATAGCGAAACCTTTATAGCGAATATATTACCGCGAATACAATATCGCGAAACAAATATCGCAAATTTTTTATAACGAAACCTTTATCGCGAAACCTTTAATGCGAATACATTACCTCGAAACTTTTATCGCGAATCAATAATCGCGAAAATTTTATAGCGAAACTTTTATCGCGAAACTTTTATCGCGAAACTTTTAAAGCGAAACTTTTAAAGCGAAACTTTTAAAGCGAAACTTTTAAAGCGAATACATTACCGCGAAACTTTAATCGCGAATCAATAATCGCGAAAATTTTATAGCAAAGTTATTATCGCGAAAATTTTATAGCAAAGTTATTATCGCGAAACCCAAATCGCGAAGACAATGTAGCGGCAATTATTTCGTGAAACATATCACGAAGATATTATAGAGAATTTAATATCGCGATAATTGCTAATTATGACTAATTTATTTTGAATCATTTTTTTATAATTATATTATTTGAATAATATTTTTTTAATTCACATAGTTTGATTTTCTTTTAACCTTAAAAAATTTATATAATGATTAATAAACTTAGATCTGGTTTATGAAATTTGTTATTGAAATACACTTTTTTTCGCTATCCTATCCTTTTCTTCGAAGTTCTTATTTTATATAATCGCGCACAAGGAACTCAGCTTTATAAATATATTAATCATTGAGTTTATTAGTTAAATCTTGATATTTAATAGCGAAATTGATATATGTATGGGTAAGCATGACTTAATATTGATTAATTTATCAATCAATTTTGGCCAGGGTTAGCAAGTCAGTCAATTGACCAGTCAAATGACTAGATTTTGACGGGTCAATTGAACAGGGGAATATTTGACCTGGTCAAATGGCTCAAATATTCTATAAGATCTGAATATAAAAATATGTTTGAAAAAGAAAAAACGATATAAATACATGTGTTCACATTGCTGCTATTTATTGAGTTCCTAATATTAAGGAGAGCATTTTAATCATAGTAAATTTAATGAAGTATGTAATATAATAAAAGGA